TGTACCTGAAGGCTTTCGAGGCAAAGCGTCCTTAACCAGTGCAATAAGATTGTCCACTTTCGTTTCAAGCGTCTTAATGGCGGAACATGAATGTTGTCTGGCGTCGCTTAAAACAGGGAACACCGCAAGGATATTTGCGATGAAATGAACTGCAAATAGCAAGCGCATTTTGAGAATTGATTGACTTTGGAAAATATTTTCTGTGCTGCTCAACCTGTGAATAACTGATTATGATGATTTTGCTTCGTAATTGTAAGTTATCATCGTCAAACACAACTCGAATTTTCTTTCTCGCACCCAGCGACATCTAGAAGACAAGTTCCAAGTTGAAGATTATTTTTAACTTAATTCACTGTGCTTTGAAATGGACTTTGAAAATCTGCTAACAATATAGCTGTCTTTCTCATGAAAAATCGTTGAACGGCCGATTTATAAGCGGTGATAATGCAATTTAATAAATTCAAACTAATTTTCTGTTTATCTTAACGAATTGACTACATGATTTTTGCATGCATGCATGCCCACATATTCAACGAAGACACTGATTGTTTTGTCTTTGGTCCATATATTTTGATATAAATGAGTAAAACGGTAAAGACGGTGATGGGCTTATCGAGGGCTGTGCTTTTGGCAACCGGAATGTTACATTCACTAGTTTCGCATTTTCCCGGTCAATGAATAAAGTGAGATATTGCCAGTTAACAGAGTCGTATAAAGACATAAGGTGGCTAGGTTTCCAGGGATACTGGGGTTTTGCGTCGGTGGGATATTACACGATAGTTTGGTTCTTTCAGCTAAGTTGATAATCTAATTTGGCAACTGTAAACATCATCTAAAGTTAATATTTCGATTGTTAGCCCTTGTTCAGAGCGAAAGCTCGAAAGCTCTGATCAAGGGCTACGCTCGAACATTTTCAACTCAGTAAACAAAACCAAATTATCTCGTATAAATTAAAGCTTTACACAAAATCAAAAAGATATCAGATCACTCTATGTTGACATTCTGCCTTGGTTCAACATAAAACATTTGTTGGGCTAATACAGATTTAAAACGGGAAACTGAAACCTTAATTCCGGGACCAACTTGAGGACCAGCTTCAACCCCCTCAGTCCTTATAAACTTAATTTACAAATGTTGATAATACAAACTTAGGCAGCATCTAAATAAAGTGACCGGGGCTATTTAACATGACTATAACTTCTGTTCATTTACAGCCTTTTTGGCCTTCAATACTTCGTTTGTGGATCGTGCTGCTCGATAAGCGTTACAGTTGCTTTCCATGTTTGAAACAACTTGTGGGAGATCATTTGTCTGTCATGACTGTCTGCACTCTCAAAGCACAATAAAATAATTCTGTTGTCGAAGAATGCCAGTTTTAACACAGGATAGTAATTTACCCCTGGAACAAGGTTGCCCCAAACTCTGAAGATTTTTTAACTTTTTACTCTAACATAAGAAACAAATTCTCCTTCCCTGAAAATTAAATCTGTTCAAGATTAGGCCAGAGCACAGAAAGAACACGTAAACAGTTTCTCTGAATCCATTAAGTGAAATGTCAATCAAATAAGTGTTTCCTACTTGAAACCGATTGAAAGTGTTTCAAGGTGTTTCGGAGTAAATTCAGTTTACATCCGATTTTGCTAATTGAGTGGTCTCCTTTTCGCGTATCTGGAGGTTTCGCTCCACTACTACCGGTAACTTTCCGAGTTCAGGCAGACCTTGGAATTTGATGCAAACAGCATAAATTATAGTAGTGTCAAAGCAGATAAAGATCAGAATTATGTAGCGGCCTAGCATCACCATCCTGTTTCAGGCGTTCTGTCAGGAATACGAGGGAGATTTTGGGTCGAGTGCGTGATGACCCGACCCAAGCTTCCCTCGCTCCTATAGCGCCGTTTGCCATTTCGCTCGGTTTTACTGACTAAAGGCCTGGAACTGGCTAAGTATGACTCATGCGGTAGTCGTGCGTCAAGTAACACGCCTAAGAATTTGCAGGCACATCAACACTTTTATTGAGATTACTCAATTGTGAATAAATTATTTCAAATATGTTAATTTTACAGTTAAATACGGTTCAACCAGCAAGAATAAAGTTGTTGTACAAGTATAAATTCTGATTAATCATATTGTGAAAACTGGAACACTGCATGAAAACTTTCCGCATCATCATCATTATCATTTCGGTTTTAATCGCTGTTAAATTAAATAAATGTTGCAAAAGAGAGCTTAAACGGTTCAATCATTTCAAAGCCATTTTACTTACAAAATTTATTTTGTGGTCAGCACCCCGCGTTTATTAAGATTGAACCCTCTGTGATCCAAAGGCTGCATCAAGCCAACACTTCCAGAGGTTTTATTATACATTCGATTGCAGTCGTAATCAAAAGAGCAGAGCGATATGATCGGGTGAAAATCAAAACAAAGAAACGGAAGAAAAATATCGTTATCTCTCACAACTCCGTCGCTTAAGTTCTAGTGAAATCCTATCGAATTGTCGGAGTCGTAACCGGGAGACTGTTAGGAAGGGCCTGAGAACTGCCATTGGAGTTTACCCCAGATAGGAAAGGAAAGAAAGAGTAATAGTTTTCAATCATGCTTTCATAATATATCGATTGATTAATTGAAAATTTTCCAGATAAGTTTGTTCATTTAATTGCTACAGTTCCCAAAAGACTGAAGAAAGGCAAAAAATGGTTGTACGGGATCTAATAGGTTGTGATAGATAAAATTACCATCCTTTTGAAACAAGGTCATGAAATTGCCAAATTTGGTGGCCTGCCGAGGATAAGGATACCAATGGTTAACTTTCATCATGCTAGTTTTATGATGAAATAGTGCAATTTTGGATTTTTCAGCACACGTGTGCGTCTGCAAAAAAGAGACAACTGACACCATCCCATGAACAGTTTGGCTTAAGAGTGGTGTTGGTGTAACTTTTGTTTCCCTAGAATCATAAAATCCGAAAATCGCGAGCTAAACGTGTAATTACAGACAGAAAAAGATAGTTTTGTATGGCATTCTTCTTCATCGTTTTTTTTAAATGTCCGTTACTTCCTGATTTTATCTCTTCCCCATGATCTGAACTTTAAACCAATCAGGACTGATTTATGCGGCTCGAGTAGAAAAGCCAGTGACATCACGAGATGAGATCGTACAGATCTTTTTAGGCCAATTTTTCGAATTTAACAGAAGATATGTGAAATTGTGGTTTAGGACGTCATGACCTCGGGAAATATCCCGGCAAGAGCTCCGTTCGAATGGTGAGCTAATAATCATCTTGTTAATATGTACGTTCATATTTAACACAAAGACTGACGTCTCGAACAAATAATACATAAAAATTCTGTCATTCTGGTGAAAGCGAGAAAGGTAAGCAATACTTCGGGAGGGTATTACTTTTGCATTCTGTTAGTTCTCATATCTGAGCTAATTATTTTCTATAAAAATCGTTAACGCCCGTGGGCTCCTAGTTACTTTGAACTGGCGAAATTTTTCATGTTTTTCACAAGAGCAGAAAGATGCGCGAGGTGAGCGTAAAGAACAACACGAGCGGTAAAAAAACAGAAAAACCTAAAAGGAAGTCACATTTTCCGTGCTTCTTCTTTTCTGTGTTACACTCCCTTGATTCGCTCACCGCTCACTCTTAATGACATGGACGTATTACAAACATCGAATATGGCTTCTTTGCCAATATTTACTTCGTAAAAAAATCCTGAATTAGCCTTGCGCAAATATAATGCTTTGAATTTCATTAAAAAAATTATACTAGAGACAAAGCTAACCAGCGGAGAATATAAAGTTAAACCCATTGCTTTATTAGCCTTTAAGCTTTAGGACACGACATTTTCTTCTTCATGATGGCTTCTCGGCTCAAAATTTGGGAAGTTAACTGTGTCCCCTGTCACTGTACCAGGATGTAACCCATGGCTTTGATGTGCTTGTGTCCATTATCTGGCGAGTACGTTGCCTCATTTCCACACGTGTTAGAATCATCAAATAGACCTCCTGTGCCAAAACCAATTCGGGAGTCACAGGAACCACAGTGATTCTGCTGGTTAGCAGTGATGCCGATTCTTGCTTTGGAATAACGAGGGTTGCTTCCCACTGCATTGAATCCTTCCTTACTGCAGTTGCGCTGCAGGGAGGCCCGGGAACCAATCAGCCACTTCCACGTGTTACGACCCAATGAGGTGGCACGGTATTTCCCATCAGCGATCAGTGAGAACAGTGAGTTGGCGTGCCTGTTGATGACAATGAACCTGAGCTGATGACCAATCTTCATACCGAGGCAGATCTTGGAGAAGGGTGTGCTCCAGTAGGCTGGTAACTTGGTCTCTTGTGAGTCAAAGCCAGTCTTGCCTCCAGCAAAGTTATAACCATTTCTGTTGCTCCAGAATTGGGAATCGTAAAGTTCTCTGAAAGACAAGAATTACTTTTTTGATTTGCCTATGTTCATTTCAATAATATCAAGAGTTTCGCAAAGGAGACAGGGAGTTAACCTGCGTGCCGGCAATCTTCATGGCCAGCGTCCATCCTCCATCCCCACATCCAGAATTATTCATGTGACAGAAAACAGGAATCGTTTGTGAACCAAACATCAGCGGGTATACTTGGCTTCGTTGCGATCTAAAAAAAAAAAAGAAATTAAAAACAATATAATCAACCTATGGGTAGCCATTTGTGCCAAAATATCCATCACTAGTAACAAACTCAATTGTTAGTGCTAAAATATCAATCTCTAGTGATAAACTCAATTGTTCGTGCTAAAATATCAATCGCTAGTGATAAAACTCAATCGTTAGTGCTAGAATCGATTTGTCATCGATTTTAACTTGAACCAGTCTCCCGCTTGTTAAGCAAAGATGAATCCATCAAATCTTGCTTACTTTCTTGAAATCTGATAAGGGATAGAGAGACCAGCACGGACTCCCCATGTGGCTTTTGTAGTCGCGTCCCATAATCGCCTTCAAATTATGTTTTTACTTTCACAAGCGTGTCCTTAAGGGATGCTCCCTTTTTTTAAGAGATGATTGGATGTTTTGAAAACCTCTTTTCAGCAAGAGCTGATTGCGTATTAGACTCCAATGCTTCATCAGTATTTGTAGTATTTGTAAGTTTTTAACTGCCAGGTGGTACGTTGTGACAAAAGACAATTAACTGGTGGAGGGGGGGGGGGGGGGGAAGGGGGGTCAGAGTCTCCCACTTCCCCTACAACGTTCTCCTGCCTCCCGTACTTTTATGCCCTTTTATCTCCCGACTCTCATCCTTCATTGTGTTGCTCCCGTCTTCAGGTTAATCAAGAAGATCAAAAACCCGGGTTTAATTTTTAAACTGTGCCAAAACTTAATATTCTTGTTCATTTTCTGGCCTTTGGTGGATATTAAATGGAAATTACAAAACTTTAATATACGAGTGTTTTTGACTAAATAATACCCAGTAATAAACAACAAACTATCGCTATCTTTATTTCTTCTCCCGCTTCCTGCCCTCATATGGCTCCCGCTTCCCGCCCCCTGTTCTCCCGCTTCCTGCCCTCTCCCGCCCCCCTGTCCCCCTCCGCAATAAACATTAGTGACCTTTTAGCTTTTGTGTATGTGCAAGAAACGATTGTCTAGAGGCAAAGCTGACCCCTGACAGAGACCATTCTATGATGTTTTCTGGGTACCCTCTTGCTTTGAGGCGTTGTTTAAATTTCAAAAGGTGCTCCTCAAATGTTTCTTTCGAAGAATTAGTTCCAGGCCATGTTATTGTTTCGCCTTTCTTGATACCATATTTTACGTCTGGTCGGTGGCACGAGGCAAAGTGCGCAAATTAAAAAAGGTCTCGGTCAGCGAGAGAAAGAGAAAACAAAACGTCATCTATACAACATTTCCATTCTCTATGCTTAGTTTCGCTTTGTTGGATTAATTTCGTTTCAGTTAACGCCATGAAAATATTAGCAAATGACACTGCCATTTTCGTACTTATAGCACTGCCATTTTCGTACCTATAGCAATGCCATGTGTTTCGAGGAAGTTCTCCTCATTGAATTGAAACGAATTTTCTTAAAGGATTAAGCCAAACATTTCCCTGAGGTAGTGCGTTGGGATCGGTGCGTTATGGTTGTGGAACTTTTCGTATGCTTCACACACTATGTTCGTTCCGTCTTCTTGAGGTATAATTGTTTACAGGCTAGAAAAGTCCATTGATACTAGAATTGTTAAATCTTTCCGTTTGGATTGTTCCTTATACCCAATGTCACGCGACCAGTTTTCCATATTTGGGTTTGACCAGGTGGTTGAAGTTTTTGGCAGATCTTGTCTAATTAATATTGTCTTGTTTTCTGGACCTTGGACTAATACATCAAAGCTGGCGACGAGAATGGGATCTTTTTTTGGCCAAGCGCAAGCGGTAAACACCAATCACGTCTGAAGTTGACGAAGGCACGGCAGGAAATGCCGAACGAAGCGTCGAACGTCAACACGAGTCAAGCCATCGGAAAAGTGACAAAGTAGGTTGTGGAAGTGGACTGGGAGTTATACACCGAACAGTTGGGTTTTTATTTTGTCCTGTATCAACAGTGAATTCCTTTGCAGATAAATTGCTACCTTATTGCGACTAGTCTTCATGATCGGCGTCCGTCCTTCATTTCCGCATCCAAATGAATCAGGCGAAAGTTTTCAAGATGGAAGCTAGTGTGCAAGTTTATTATAAAGGTTTCTATGCTTAGCGCAGTATCATTTTCAGAATTTTCATTATTAGTACTACTGTTATTTTCATATTCTCTCATTAAATTCCGCGCTAGCTTTGTTCTTAGTGAATAATTGACTTACACATTCCGGTTGAAAATTTCCTTACACGTCGAAGCTGAAAAAAAGGAAAGGCATATCAACAGCAATAAACCCTTTAAAAAAAAGATGGAATGGAGGTTTAAAATGGTCTCAAAGGGAAAATTTACGTGTGGAATAGGAAATACATAACGTTCTTGGTCACTCGTGTTTTCGTAACTTGCATCGTTAGCGGTGTCTAATGCGCTAGATAAGAATAAAAGCAGCGGAGCCGCGAATTTAAGCAGCATCCCAAACCCCTCGCGGCCTCGCCGTTTTTACTCCAGCCGCTCGACGCTTTAAATACACACCATGAGACTGCTATCTACGCAGGCAAGCATTTTCAAGTCCATCAATAAGTTAGCTTGTTTTTAGTTTGAATTCTCAATAATTTCTAACGAGGCATTTATCGAAGTTTTTATCGATTTACTATATATCTATATCTCGATATAAATAATTATTATAAACGAAATTCTCGTTGCAGTGTCTAAACAGACAAAAACAGTGCAAAGACTAGCTTAAAAAATACAGCAGGAGAAATGTTACCCAAACGGCAGATATTTCCATCTCCATAGTATCCTTTTTTGCATGTACAGTTGTACGATCCCTTAGTATTGTTGCACACAGCATCAGCACTGCAGTTGGTTTTTCCTGTAGCACACTCGTCGATATCTAAAAAGACTCTCCTTTAATTAGAACATCATCACTGCTATTTATTTTAAAACTGATGCAGTTTTAAAAATAAAGTGTAGACAGCAACTGGAGACCCCAGTTGGATTCGATGTCTTAAAATTCTTGCAATTTTTCTGCAGTTCTCTTGGCCGTGCAAGAGTAACTCATCCCATTTGGGTATGGATAATTGAGCAACAGAAGTTGTCCGTCTTTCAAATTCACTATTTTTATAAAGTACATTACTTTTAAAAATACAAAATTGTCCGCCTAGTTTCTAGATGAATACCTTTCTAGATAAATTACAGACAATTATTCGTACTGCCATCTGCAGGAAACTTGCAGGTGGCAGTTAATTTCCACAAAAAATGCACATATTTAAACTAGTTATAGTTCTCACTAGAGCTGCCCCCGCCCTACAGTACCATCATCAATCAAATCAAAAATCGAAATCGAGATTTTTTTTTGGTTACGATCAAACGAAAACACCTACATTCTCTCTTCTCCAGTCTTCCTCTATACTAGGACAAATCTCGTGTCAAAGACGCCGATCATAAAAGTCCTCGCGCGCGTGTCTTTTTACTGGCAGCCCATGACCATTTGCGGGAAAAACGTTGATACCTTGCGGCTGTGCAAGCGATCAAATCGAGATTTTTTCTGGTTATGATCTACCGAAAATACCCACATTCCCTCTTCTCCAGTCTTCCTCTATATTGCGCGGGGAGTCCTAAGGTGCCTCCTCGGGTTTTTGGCCCTCTGGGGTCAAAAACCCTGCAGGGGCAATAAGAAGATTTTCCATTCGAAAATTCCCCAAAAATAAAAAGAAGTTTATTTTCTAAGTGAAGACGAAGTTCGCCGGTTTTAATTTGTAAAGTGGACTGAATCGTTGAAGAAATCCATGAATGAACCAGATCAATGAACAAAGAATGTTTGCAAAGAGTTTGTCATTACAGAAGATCTTTATTACAAAATCTTTATTGTCTTCTTCTTCCGAATATATTATTCCTCAAAAGCTACATATCTAGCAGGAATCGCAAATTTCTCGATATTCCCTGACGTTGAGAGTTATTTAATGGAGAAAAATTTAGCCACGACTGAGGCGAAAATCTAACTTTACGAGCGCAATAAACACAAAAACCATTCCAGCCGACACAAATAAGAAGACTGAGCGGCATAACAAAAGAAGACTAGGCAGATAATATAATTTACGAGTGTAAACTTTTCACATGTTCGAATACAAAATACAAACAAATTAATAAATTGATAAAGAAGTGATAGAGAGTTAGAAAATATTACAATATATCAACTGGGATGACGAGCTCGATAAAAAAGAATTAATTAAGAAAAAAACCACAACAAAACAGAAACGAGAAATGAGAACCATTCGTAATTAAAGTCACGTAAAGAGACTCAAACAAACTATCTGCCCAAGAATCTCTCCATCACCAATAATTTACTTGGTTAAGAAGGTTAAGAATGTGTTAATACTTGGTTAAGAAGTTTAAGAAAGTGTTAAGCTAACTCAATAAGCATTGGTAATTAGTCCCTAGGGATTTTGGATATAATAGATTGTTTTGTATCACTCCTTGTCACTTCACTTGAGGCCTTGGGCTGTGTACTGCTTGAAGCGTTCTATAACTTTTTTTACCATGTGGTTGATTATATTTCAGTGGCTAATTTTTTATCGGTAGAGTTTAGATTTGGTTTACTTTCTGTAGATGTGAAATTGTGTCAGGCCTGCGGGGCCGTGAAGGTTTTTTCTTTGCCTGCGGGGCCGTTAAAGTTACTTGCCTGCGAGACCGTGAAAGTTTTCTTTGCCTGCGGGGCCGTGAAAGTTTTTTTTTTCTTTGCCTGCGAGGCCGTGAGAGTTTTCTTTGCCTGCGGGGCTGTGAAAGTTTTCTTTGCCTGCGGGGTTGTGAAGTTTTCTTTGCCTGCGGGGCCGTGAAAGTTTTCTTTGTCTGCGTGGCCGTGAAAGTTTCTTTGCCTGCGGGGCTGTGCAGAAAGTTTTCCTTTGCCTGCGAGGCCGTTAAAGTTTTCGTCCCCTGTGGGGCCGCATAGGAAGTTGTTGTTTGTTTTTTTTTTTCTTTTGCCTGAGAGGCCGTTTGGATTTATTTGCCTGCGGGGCCGTGGAAGTTTCGTTTGCTTAGGAGGCCGAGAAATTTTCTTTGTCTTCGTAGCCGCGAAAGTTGCTTTGTCTGCGGGGCTGTTAAAGTTTTCTTTGTCTGCGGGGATCAAAGTTTTTTCTTTGCTTGCGAGGCCGTGAAAGTTTCTTTGTCTGCACTGTCATTTAAAAATTTTTTGTTTGTGCTTCTGGGGTCGAAAATAGTTTCGGTATTTTGCTTTTTGGGATGGAATGCTTTATGTTCACTTCGGTTGTGGTAGTGTGATGCTGGCGCGCAAGAATAAATTTTTTCTCCTTTAGCCTTTTTTGTTTTTGTGGCTTGAATTTTACTTTGTAGCCCCTCGTTTAAGAAATTGCTTGCTGATGTAGAAAGTTCTGTTGCCGTGCTTTGCTTTGTTGGAGTGTGATGCCTGAGCATCAGTCGCCGTTCATTTGCTTGTGCAAGCTTACGTGTAGTAGCTTTGAGTTGTACGGTATGTAAAAAAAAACAAAAAAAAAAAAAAACCAAAGACTGCTCTGCCGTTGTGTGTTTTTAAAACATTTTTTGGCCTGTGAGGCTAGGAGCGTTCATTGTTATTGCTGGAAGTTTGAGGTTTTGATAATTTAGTTTAATTTTTATTTAATTTAATCTAACTTAATGTAATGTAATATTTCATAACTTGTAATCTAATCGGTGTTGTTCTTTTTCAGCCTGTATTATACTGTGCTTGATCAGTTATGAGATTGAGTAATGAAAAGAAAGGAAATGAATGGATCAGTGATTTTTTATCTTGCCTTTTGAATTCTGTTATATAGGAGGAGTGTGATCTTGCTCGTGTCTTAGAGAGACTTAAGAAGTTGGAAGATTCCCAAAAGAAATCTGTTGAATCAGTGTTGGAGGATTTACAGCACCTAATACGTTCTCCGTTGTTCCAGAAGGACCAGGCAATTGATTACCTAGTGAATCTGAAGATTGTGGCCAAGGAAACAAAACACGCGAAAGCTGGATTTTATTCTGCAGTGCTAACAGCAATGCAAAATAAAATGTGGGCCTTAAACATGCAATTTAAGCGCTATCTTGAAGCCCTCTTAGGAGATAAGGAGGATGAAGTGGTACTCAAGCGGATTGCTGCCGTAGATAAAGCGTTGCGAGTGCCTGGAGTTGGTGCAAATCGTTTTCATGCCAAGGGGGAGAGGCAGGGATAGATCACAAGTCCAGTGTTTTCAGTGTGGCCTATATGAGCATTATCAGAGGTTCTGTTCCTCGCGTCCACAGCCAGGTCCTCAGTCTAAGAGGCCTCGCCTTTATAATCAAGGAGTTGAGGCACCTCAAAAACAATGAATGTATTGACAGGATTAAGGCGTTTTCCCGATGTTTTTTGATCAGTTTCCAGTATTTATGCCGTGTGTTTCTCGGCATTAAAGGCTCCCTTTTCATTGTGTCAATCGGTGTCTGTTGTTGTTTCAATTTTAATTCACTCTTGTAAGTTCTGGATCGGGGTAGAGTAGCTCCTGCTGGTTCATCACATATGGTGACCACCAGACGACCTGTTTTCAGGCGAATTGAGGCTGCTCCCTCCTGATCGGGAACCCCAGGTCTTCCCATAGGTGATCTCTCTTTTTGCCCTCTTTTCCTTAGATTTTGGGTGGTACTAAGCGTGAAGCTGCTGTGGATAACTTTTACGTTCTTACGGAATTTCAATTACAAACAACGGCAATTAAACCAAGAAACGAGACCCTATAGGTGGATATGACTGGGGTTCCCGTTCAGGGGGTGCGGCTGTGTGTTGGGGAAGTGTTATCTCATCTGGTAAGGTTCCGGATCTGGGGACTTTACATTCAAGGGATCCGGATTCCTTTGTGGCAGGTGGTCTTCACCGTAATTCAGCCGTTGGGAGCTGGTACTTGAGGGTCATCCGTTGAGGAACTATTCTAGATTGGATTAGAAATAAAGTCGACATCTTAAGTTTTTCAAGACCTTTTGCGGGAGTTTTCAAGAGAGCTAAATATTCGTCTACTGTTCCACCTAAGAAGATTTTCCCGAAGCATGTAAACTGTAAAATTTTACGGAATTTATATCCAAGGAGATCGGAATCGTGTTTTAACCGGCGCTGTTAGAGTCTGGGGGGTAGTGGGTGTCGATGATCCCCCCCATCTTGTGTTGCCACTCACGGTTGAACCTACGAAGCCTCGACTTTGTATTGACGCGAGGTTTCTAAACCTTTGGATGAAAGATATGCCGTTTTCCCTGGATAAACTGAGTGAAGTGGCTAGGTATGTTTACCCCGGATCGTTCATGACCAAGTGCGACGACAAGTCCGAGTATGATCACGTGATGTTGACAGAGTCCTCGCAATCATACTTTGGGTTTAGTTTTGATGGCCTGTGGTTTGTTTGTACGACTCTTCCGTTCGGATGGAAAATCTCCCCTTATGTTTATCATACCATTGGTCTGGCCGCCACAGGTTTCTTGAGAGCTCAAGGGATTCCTTGTTCTCCCTATATAGACGATCGCTTAAATGGAGAGCTTTTGCGACCGACTGGGCCTTGGTCCATATTGCCAGCGGACAGATCTCTGCGGTTCAGGTTGCTGGTCTGTGTTGGTTGATCTCGGTTATACCATTGGTATCAAGAAGTCGGTTCTTGTGCCGGTCACATCCCTGGGGTATCTTGGGTCTGATCATGGATTCCGTTCGACAATCGTTTTTGGTGCCGCGCCGTAAGATTGAGTCCTGGGCCTTAATTAGGGAGAAAATTCTTGCCTGCAAGAAAACTGTTTGGATCAAAACTTTACAACGATTTCAGGGGAAATGCATATCTTTCTCTTTGGCTGTTCCAGCCGCGAAATTGTTCATTAGAGAAATGAGTAGAGCGATCGCTTCTGGCTTGGATGATGGGCAAG